TGTGTGTGTGTGTGTATGTGTGTGTGTATGCGTGGCAGTGTGTGTGTGCGTGCATGTGTGTGCAGAATGGGAACTTTGACGATGGATGGTGGGAAGTGACTGAGCTGGACTACAACCTCAGGGAAGGTGAATGGAGCAGGAGAGCTAAGCGTCTGGGAAATGAGCGTTTTTCGAGTGAAAGTGTGTGAGTGCGACACATACTGCTTTGGTGCACCATGAGTGCAGTATATAAATAAATAAATACATATTGGATTCCGATTCGCCCCGCTGAAAGTAATGAACCTCATTGAGAGAGATAGAACGTGTGAGAGGGTCCGGTATCTTCTCCCCGAATACCGCGTCGCGCTCGCCGTACCAGCCGCGTATCGCAGAAATGCGATGTGAGATCGGAGCGCGCAATCTGTGAGTTAGGGAGGGTGGAGCTCATATCGGAACTCTACCACCTTCCGGAACAGCTATTATGGAAGGTTAACAAACAAAAGCCTATCCCAAATAATCGTTCTGCGTGAATGTTCTGGAACTGTTTTTTCGGAGGGCTCTTACCACAGAACGATTACGGGAAGAATGTTTCAGGGAACTTCCGTGCTCAACGAAGGAAATTATGGTGGAAACAGATGCTGCAACCACCGCAGTGAAAATGACCTCTTTGAAAGAGTCAAGGCAACTTTCGGGAGCACCACTGAATGTCACTCACACGGTATGTTTTACAAAGACTCAGCGAATAAGCGTATGCACCCATTTGGTTGATTCTTAGGAAATTGGGTTCCTAAAGCCCACGAGCTTCTTTTTCTTTTTTTGAAATGCTCCTTTTTTTGGTTGAAACCCCCCTCCTTGACGGTATTCAACTCAGGAACACCGAGTGAACGAAGAATCCACCTTTTATACAGGATACAAACAAATTATAAAAGTATAAAATGTGCAAGACTGAAAAGAAGGTGCAGCGCAAAAACTAGGTCGAGGAAGCGAAGACCGTCGAAGCACAGAAGGACAACTTCTTAGACGAACCATGGGATAATTATGCGCCCACGCGATGACGATTCCTTCGCGACTTGACGATGTTCTCTTTCTGAAGCAAAAGCCTTATAGCAACACTAAACGTTACATTGGGTTAGATATCATGAGAAACTGTACGGCTCCGCAAACGTTGATTATATGACTTAACGAAGTGCAGCGTTCTCCCAGTCTCTGAGCAGGATGTTCATAAAACACTTTTGTCGCGACCCGTGTCCCTGAGACGTACGCATCGACGGGGAGAACTCCGGAACGTGGGTATTTTCAGGTCCCACATCCTCCTGAGGAGACTGTGTTGCAGCAGAATGCGGTGGTTCCTGCCACGGGCTGGATTGGGTCCTTGTCCCCTCACCCGCTCTCCGAGGATATGGACACAATAAAGAAATTAAAGAACTGGTGATGGAGATACCCTGGCGACGTCACGTTCGAGAAGTAACATGAATAACCTTCATAGGTTTATATGTATTGCATTAAATGTGGTATATGGTGAATGAGTACGACAAGTATATAATGATGATGAAGATAGGAGAAGGAAAGAGAAATAGACATGGTCAGCAAACTGAAGACTAAAACGTGACGTACGACTCAGTGCAGCTGTTCCGCCATGCTGATAATAATGCGTTCATAGTTAGAGTGAGTAAGCGTTGTTGAGATAACGCTGACAACACTCTTACACGAGAGTCAAAATTGTGGGATGTATGTGTACCCCTGTTTTCTTCTCGGGACACAGTAAACTCTTCAAAATAACAGCTTTATGAAATTAGTAACAGCAATTAATGAGTAAAAATACGATAAGAGTAGATCGAATAACTGATGAGGTAGTGGAGTTGGGTGGCGAGTGTAGTGGAGCTGACGAAGAACGGCGGTGGCGTCACAACGACGACGTAGTATCCGAAGTAGTGTACAGCTACTTGTGTTTTTCTTGCCCTTTTATACGGTAGTTCTCGCGCCATCCTTGCTAACGTAACGGTAGGTGGCCAGAATAGGACCACCCACCGTGAACGCGAGGCGGTCACCGGCCACATTTGACCAACCTTCCTGACATGCCGGGGGGGGGGGGTAAAAAAAAGAACTTTGTGACTTCACTCCACAATACTGCAACAGCTTATAACTCTTGCATCTTGTGGGTGGTGGCCCTGATCTTGTCCTGCAATCTGTTCTGCGCCCTTTTCCGGCATTTTCGATTAACACGCCCATCAGAGCTTCCCTTTGGAAGAGCCGGCGGTCCTGGCTCCCTCCTATTGTTGCGCTCGAAAAGGCGCCAACCGAAGCTTCTTTAATGTCAACATGGGCTTCAGTTGTGATCGTAGAAACTGATAGGATGTACGCGTACTTTCCTTGGACATCCATTCATCAGCGCTTTTGAGTATTCCCACAGCAGCCTAAGCGGCCCGTGTATACATGAGCCCGATGTTCTGTTGTAGAACATCCACAATAAGTTGTGCCCGTTCTGGCTGTCCTGACACATAACTTGCAAAGTGTCTTCTCACCTTGATGGTGACGTGCTCCCAAATGACTGCATTCGACGTTCTGGATCCATTCACCGGGTATACCGTTGTGCCGCAGGCAGTCCAGAGATCTNTAGCAGACATTACCGCGAGTCATGCGGTTACTTTGCGCGCGTGCGCGGCTGTCGCCAGACATCCATGCCATTCTTCTCAACACTATGGGCACAACGATGAGAATGCGGTTATGCACTCGGTTCAACATCGAACTTATATCAAAATCATTCCCTTCTATTTTTCTCGCAATCAGCCAGCTGAGCTCCAAGATTCGAACCGGCACCGTCGGCCATCCTCCTGTTAGCGACCCGTGGGGCATGATGGAAGCTGGCTAAACGGCCCGCACCATATTACTGACATGGGCACACTTGTTCGTGAACATTTGCAAAGCCCAACGCACGTGGGTCGATCACTTTGTCGTCAAAATTCGTTATGCGCTGCACTTTCAGCGCTACGGAGCCGGGTTGGGTCCAAATTGTGAAGGTGCCGCCAGCATCCAATAGGCGCTCGATCGGCATGGCTCTCGCCGGATGAGGCAGTGCTGTTATCAGTGCTCCTGCGGTTAACGTCTTCGACAGACAGCAGTTCGCAAGTGAAAAACTCAGCCCTCCTTTATTTGCGGGAAAGTCTTGGCCTCGGCATCGCAACTGAAAGTACAACATGTGACCATCATCGGGAACATCGAACTCGAGTTCTTTCTGGAATGAGCAAGTTGAGGAGTAGATACGGAAATTTTCAACACTCTTTTCACTCTCTTCCTCTTGGTCTTCCCTTTCACTTGCTCGTTTGGCATTTCATCTGGGCATGTGAAAAGTAAGTTACTGAACTTTGATTGCATCTTCAGTGCTGCCTATTTTAGTGATCGGCTAAGAGTTTTCGTCAGTTTGCAATACGCGATACGGCGCGTCCCAGTCTATGGTCAATTTGGGATGTTCTCCTCGGGCCTATTCTCGTGGTAGTTTCATGAACACCCTTCCTACTACCGCTGGGAGAAAAAGAACGTTCACGTTCTTACGCTTATCATACACTTCCCTCATTTCAGCCCTATATTTCTCACTTTGGCTCGTACCTCCTCTCTAATTAGCTGGAGTCCATTAAGTAAATATGTTCGACAACCGTCGACAAACACCTTGTACTTGGAAGTAAACGTGGAAGTTTATAGGCACGGCGCAGGGCCTCGTCTCTAAATTTCGTGGTTGGACTACTTCAAAGAGACGGAACAGATGAGGAGATGGCCTATCCATTCTGTAGACCGACGAAGGAACACATTTAGTGTGGAGGTAATTAAAGAGCATTCTTTCACAATTCCAATCGTGAGAAGACCAAAAATTCAGAAGATTCAGGAACACCGATAATCACAAGAGAACAAGCAAGTTTTTTAGATTCACAACAAGAAGTATCAGGAGAATGATTGACAACTCCAGAAACGTGAGTAGAAGGATTGTAGGATCAACATGGGGTGGAGGTTTGGAGGCCACAGATAATGAACGGCGCAAACTAGCGTTCTCACCACGCACTTTTTGGATTTCAGCAGAAAGCTCTTTGTTCTCAGTAGCTAGTAGCTCAATCTTTCCCTCAGCATCAAGAAGGCGATCCACAATTGTTTTCAAATATGGTGGCATCGATTCATCTGACATCAGTTGCTCGTCGGCCAACATAGGCACCTTTTCTTGCTCAGAACTCTGGAGCAATCCCATGTCGACCAAACCTCTTTTACGGCTCTTAACTTTAGATACGACAGAAAGCAGGACACTTATAATGAAATATGGATAGAAAGCTCCAAATGAAGTGCAATGAAGAAAGAATTCTTGGCTTCCTGCCATGTGGAGGCTTAAAAACTGAAAAGTTTGACCGAAGCGATCGATGGTCAAAGCAGACTTAATAACAATTGATCGATAATTGACCACAGGAAAACATCACCAAATTGAAAAAAATTGTGGCAATTGAAATTCAAGTCAGTTTTCCCTGCCACTAGGGTGCAGCACAGTATCACAATCCAACGAGAAGAAGGACCAAGTCGAGTTTGGTATTCTGGTCCAACGGTGCCGAATACATAGGCCGCTAGGGGAGCATAGCAGAGGCCGACGCAGCCGCTATAGCCAAGACAGAGATCAGAATGTTTTCTTTTCCTTCTTTTCTTTCTTAACATCGGTGAGTTTTTGACACTTATTTTTCTTGTACGCCTTCAATCCTAGCTTGCATATTATTCCTCTCAGCGAACTCTCATTAATGTCCATTGCTCGCGACATTCTGCGAGCCTACGGCGACGACTGTCTCCGAATCCTCTCACGTACCTTCCTTATATTTCCCGTGGTAGCGACGATGGCACGCCTTCCTCTTCCGGATCGGTCGTCTTCGGTTCCTAGCTCCCTGTAGCCTTCACTGGTCCTATAGATGACATTGCAATGTACACCAAGACGCTGGTGGATTTCGCGTGCCGAAACTCCTTGGAGATGAAGTTTGATGATTGCAGGGACGTTGGCTTAACCATTGTGGCAATAATAATTTAAGCGGTCAAATAGTTTGGATATGGTCAGGTCAACATTAAAATAGTGAGAGACGCAGAGACAAAAGCAGTGATTTCGAAAAACGGTTCAAAGAGCGCGCGCGTGTGCTATCGCCTATTTATGACGCACCCTATAGATCGATGTCCCTTTCGGGATAAGTGCTTCTGGGACCGACCGCAGGATGGTGGTTCCTAGCATCACAAAATCGGCATCTGATCTCGCGGCGACAATACCCTGGGACATGAACTTAGAGATAATAGGGACATCGTCCTTCGTTGACAGCTCTTAGGGCTCCTTCAGTGAAAATTGTGACGACGGTGCAGTCTGTGGAGTAGTGATGGTGACGACAGAAGCTGCACGTGATGAGCGGGCGGATGACTGCTGACGACTGATGACTGCTAACTGGGGTAGGAGATGTTCGCCGCATATGGTCCTCCTGCTGAGCAGGAATAGGATGGCACGAACGGCTTTTTAGCGGGCCACGTCTTGATCGCTCCATGTCCACAAATGGTGAACGAGCACTAGTCGATTGTAGGTGTTTCTGACGACTTCCAAATTTTCGACAGTGTCCTCGCGAGCGGTCACCTCGGAATATCACCAGTCTGAGTTGCGGTTAACTGACGACTTGAAGGTGGTTTGCGTGGAAGTAGTGACTATAGGCGACTAACCAACTGATGAGGTGACTGTGTTCCGGATGGTAGAGATTCCCTCGAACTCAGAGGCTTGCGCTAACGACGACGGCGACGTGGAAATGCCGTGAAGACGTGCGATGGCGACGTTGATCCTCTTCAGACTGACTGTTGTCGTAGCTAACTGCTGACGCGTTGGTACGAAGCAGCTTGATGTCCGCATGTGTGATGGAATAGTAGCTTAGAATATCGACGAATCTTCTATTATCCTCGATGAAGTTGAGAACGTGCTGGATTATGAGTTCCGTAAACGTGTTCTGAGTCTGAATGTTGTATAGTTCGGCGTGAGATATTCCTCGAAGTGAGCTTCGGCGCTGATCTCCAATGCTTGGGGTGTTTCGTTAGGTCATTCGTGATGTTCTGCAGTATTCTTTTAGCTGCGTGAAGACCCTCGAAAGACTGTACGATGAGAAAGATGGAATATTGCTCTCCGTGAGGTTAAACAAGGTCTGCTGGAGTGAATGTTTCAGTTTCCTCAACAATCGCATCACGTATGATGTTGTAAAAGGTATGACAAAGAGAAGCATCTAGCATGACGAACAAGGTTGAGAAAAGACCGCAGTAGCGATGCTCCCGCAGATAAGCCTTAACTGCGTCGGTGATGAAGACGCTCTTCCGTATCTCGTATTCTGTAGGGTATGAAACCCGTGTTCTGCACTTGTGTCCAAAGTGAACACCCCAAAATAGTAAAGTTTATTGAAAGAGAAAAATAAAAAAGAACAGAATAAAATAGCTGTCGAGTAGACGATAAACAGTTGCCGAGTAGAGACAAGGCCACCACTGCTGTAGATGTGGGACGGCGGGGATCTGGCACGGAACGATTGGCGGGCCCAATGTTCGCACCACTGAAGATAAGAAGAGGGAGACCTCCCAAGAGGCAACACCTGCCTCTTATAAGGAATTTCTGGCCCTCTTGATCTCCAGTTCATTTGCGGTCCATTGCGTGTGATCTTCTCATACTTTCGTGACGGACTTGCCCTGATGATATCCACATTTCTTCTTTATAGTCTCCAATAGTTCGCAAAGAGCGGAGTGGTGACCTGTTTCGTGTTTCATGGCAATGATAGCATTTGGTGAAGCGCTTCCTACAAAATTGACCGCCACTGCAAGCAAATGCAAGCGGAAACGTGGTCTTCTTTCACCTACGAGGTGTCTCTTCCGTTCGACCAGGCTGACTACGTGGCATTAGTCAGAGTATTGTTCTCCGATCGCTTCAGAAAAGCGCAACGCATAAATCGTTCCCCGCTGAGACGAATTTCACCTCGTTCAAATCTTCTCTGTGGGCCCGTTGGCCTTTCCATTAGTTCTTGGGTGTGACGTAGAAATCTCAACTCGGCTTGTCGCACTTGGTAAACCTCCTGCTCGATTTCGCGCCGTCTTATGGCCTGTGCTGAATCTTTAGCATCGAAGCAGTCTCTCGGCTGCGTGTCTTCTTGCTCCTGACTGTTGGCTTCTCGAGAATTTCTTAGTTGTTCTCGTTCCGTTCCTATGTTTTGAACTTCTTCCATGAACTAAGCATTTTCGCGTATAATTACTCTTTTTTGCGTTCCCTTGGGAGTGCCCTCCTTCTCCTCGGCTAGAGCCTACTGTCTGGCAATCTGCTGTTGGTAAAGTATTTCAACTTTGTTTCTCTGTTGAATAGCCATGTTCAGTGTAGACTGCATGGGGCGAAATTTTTCGATCACGAACACGATCTCTTGAAAAGTTGTCAAGTTTATTCTGTTCTGTTCTTAAGGAGGAACACGACGGCCTCTCAGAGTAAGTCCGTGCCCGCCAAGTAGTTGAAGTTGGTCGGCTACTGCTGTTTCGATGGCGTTAGGACTCGTGATAAGGGGGACAATCCTCACTGTTCAGCTGTTTCTATTTCATCCAAGCATCCCAAGTTGCCTTCGAAAGTGTACCTCTAGCAATGAGCAGCTGCGGTACGCTGACCAGATTGCTATTTGACAGCGAACGAAAACGCTGGAGTTTTGTTAGGTCCGCGACTCACCGGTCGATACGAGCTTGGAGGTCTCGAAGCTGCTTTTAGTAAAAGTAAATAGCGTACACTTGTGCTTGCTCTTTGAATACGGCCCCTTGTAGAAGCTAAGAAGATCAATGGGACACAGGTGTGGACTACGGGTAACTTAAAATGTGATTTGTCGGCTGCCATCGTGGACGGTCACTCGGTACTGAAGAAGAAAAAAGGCACCTTAGGGTCGGAAAGTGCATACCATACAGTAACAGCAGCCAGATGCTGGGTCAACACCATTTATAAGGTTGCCGTTGTAGGCAACCATATCGGGGAGAACAGCATGCTCTAAAGGTCGTAAGCAGGAGGGTACTGGAACGGCTGCAGCTTCAAAGAGAACGCTCATATCGCTGCAAACGCCAAAGTAAGACGGGCCGGAAGATGGGTGACACCGTGTGTATGTGATTCCAGCTGATGAATGTCGCCTATATGCTACTGTTTCGCCCCTAGGCGTGGCCAGCTATAGCTGTTAAAGCGGGTCCGGGAATCTGACGTTCGAACGTTCCGAAGTTTCGCCTCCGTGCTGGTCCTCTCCAAACATCTGCACGAGCCCTGTTGGAGTTCGCCAGGCATCGCACTAACAGCTTGCTTTTCTTCTTGAATAGCAGGCAAAACTTGCGATCAGTGGAGCAGAGATGAATCACACAGGTGCCGTCGAGCGACTTCAAAATCACGTTCAGGTCGACCCACGCGGAGCAGGGGTTGTCAGATGCCGCAGTGTCCGCCAAGTAACATACCTCCGATAGATGAGCAAAGTCATCGAAATGTGACATGCAAAAACGTGTCTGTGGTCTGGGCAACCGCTGCATTAGTGGTCGCTGTCACGACCACTATCGATGGTGGTCACAACGATGAGAGCACCGCTGACCGTTCCCACCATGGTTTTATCTGTACCGCAAATATCGTTAGAATGGGCACAACGCTAACGACGAGCTGAACGGCTTCCGCCTGTTGTTTGCTTGGAAAAGTTTTACCGTGTATTTTTAAGGAAGCAACTATGGGACCGCCAGCTTCCGCTCGATCCATTGGAGCGTCCTATTGTCCCCCAGAAAACAAGTCGGCTATCCTGCTGGCGAGAGATAGGTGTTTGAATTCGCATAGGTCTTCATGTGTGCGATGGCTTCAGAAGGGGTTGGCGTGATTAGCATGCCTGACCTACGTCCTAATCCATGGAAGTTAGCAAGCCAAAAAACGACCATGTCTGTGGGTCGCGTCGTTTATACTGTGGTGAGACCAGATAAAGGCTTCCACTGTGACCATAAGGGCGTGCTGGTCGTATAGTTACCTTCGCTCGGTGGATATCACTTAGACCAAGGGCGTGCATGGCTACGGAGCGTTGAACGCACCAGCCCACCTCCGTGGTCATATCGGAAAGAACGAAGGTCAGCCTCAAAAGGTAGTGAAACGAGGGAGCCGGCGAAGCCGTCAGTCGATGGGAGAGTCTTGTCGTCCTCCGCGGAGTTGATCGCTGCTAGGGTAAAGCACACTGTGGTGAACAACTTCAACATGCATAATTTTGCCTCCTCCAAAGAACAGAAGTGAAGTGAATAATCAGATAGTCTAACACAGACAACGAGCAGTAATATTAGGAATATAACATGAATTATATAATTCGAGAATAGGCTGACGTTCTTGGACACAGGACATAGACAAGTGCTGTTCATGCCAGATCAATTTGAAAAAGACTAGAATCTCACAAGTTCTGCCGTTATTTAAATATTTACTGGTAAAGAACAAAAATAAAACCGAATGAATAAGATATGTAAGACAAATACGGTTGTCAAGACAAAAGGAAACAAGACACTAAAAGGAATAGAACAACTAACAAAGTAAATTCAATCTCCACTAACACTTCTAACCAGTAACTGCTTTTTTAATCTACCCCAATCCCAATATTAAGGACAGCAAACAGCATTTAGCCGAATACCCGAATAGCAGAATAAAGAATAAATCATAAACAGTAGAGTATGGAAGCAGGAATATTAATCGCCATTTCTCATTCGTACAGTGGAAAATACGCAAGAATTGCAAGCTGGATCTAACGGGGGACGGTGCAACGTGCGTCCGAGGGTGTGCGCGGAAAATTGCGCGGCGAAGTTCGTGACGATTTGTACGACTGCGGTGCCAATTTTCGGGGCACAAACTCGAAGTAGTGTAGTTTAGTAGGGTCAGATGATCCTCCTAATCCACTCTATTTCAAATTTGGGTCCCAATGATAGGCGCCAAAGTCGTTCAAATCATTGCGAACTTCGCCGCGCAATTTGCCGCGCGCATTCCGGACGCACGTTCGTACGACCGTTCATACCCGGAGCTAACTCGTCCGCAACCACCGTGCACAACGTGTTTATCCGCTATGTGTATACAATAGAACTGCCCGTCTCCCCTGTCGGTTGACTCCGCTTCTCCGTTGAGCCGAAGCCACGCCTCAAAAGAGAATGATGAATCATCAAGAGAACATTCAAGGAGTTCACGTCTCTCCCTTACACGCCAATGTCGGGGGAGCTAACAACGAAAATCTACACCTTTACTGAAAAACGTTCTGAAGAAGGACCAAAAAAGAACAAAAATTAGCATAGCATAGTTTAAGATGACATGGCAGGTCTAGAGGACGTAGATGCGGGTGGAGCTCAATCTAAAACAGGTAATCTCATTCGAAAGCGTTTCAAATGCGCACCTTTTTTCCATCATCTCACTCCATCACAAACGTAAGAACTCAAATTCTGAAGAAATATTGCAAATACAAAGTAGTAATATTACAAAAAAGGCTATTTTTATTTCTGTCGGTTAGTCACTACCGACAAATATCAACTGTTATGGTATTTACGGCTTGTGTAACCTCAATGTAGAGCTTTGAAAAGCTAAAGTACTAATTGGTAAGTCACTTATGAATGGAATTGCGGAATAGGCCGACAGTGTTCAGTAGTCATGATGAATATCGATTGGTTGCGCTCGTGAAAGGTTATTCAGTGCTTCCCACCCTTGAGATGCGGAGCTTTCAAGTAATATGGAGGTTGGGTTGCACTGTACCACCCGATACCGATCAGTCGATATCAATTTCTTGCTTATTTGACAAGATGCTCAGAGCTTTGCTTCCCTTAGGCGGAGTGTTCGTGGATGATAGAAGTTGCACTGCATCGCTCCCTTATGGCGTTGAACTTCAAGGACTGGAAGTACATTGCAGTGGCATCGATCGGAATCTATCAATCGATAAGTATCGATCCAACGTCCAACCGTTTTTTTCCTTTCACTAGACGCATAGGGCATTTACGTGTGGTAGGATTTACATATGTGGTAGGATTTGTGGGCATGTTGGTCGATACACCATGTAATGTAATGTAAGTGACCGATTATCCACTGCTTCATTCCCTCTGGACGCCCTTTGAACTTCAGGGAAGATGAAGAGCTGCGGTGGGAGTGTAAATAGGTGTAAATGTATCCATCGATAATGGTCAATCGATTCTGGTCAGTATCGATCTGTGCTACTCGATATAGGGTTATTAAATAATCATTTCTTGGTTTCGATGCAGGTAAGCTGGGCGTTCGTAAGGCATTCCAACTCCGACACAAAAAGGAGGAAGCCCGACTTGAGCTGCGGGTCCCGATGGGTAAGGAAGTAGCTGGCGCGGCACATCTGCACTGTTTGTCCATAGGGCTAAATCGAAAATTTAAAAGGTAGCATAGGTTTCCATGGGTGTTCTACCATTTAACAGTAGCCTCATCCGACAACTTCCTGTCAAGTTAAAGAGTGTTTCGGTTAACTTAACAACTTGTGTATGTGGGTCTTTGCTAGAGTTGATTCGAATGGTAAGAGTTGCGGGAAAGGAAGTCTTCATGCCACGAAGCCGAAATACAATTCAGTGGAGTGTTCTATCAATTTGTATTGCCTTGTATAAAACACTGATGAGGGTTCCATGTGCGGCATTCTATGAACCTCGGCATGATTATATTACTGAGTTTGTTGTTGTCTTGAATTCCTCACGAGGTTTTTAAACAACCTTTATTAGGTTTACGTTTCGGCGGAGCCTTCTTCAGAGCCTGAAAGAATCATAACAATCTGTGACTATCCTATCAAACGTCCCCTCCAACCCACTAAGTTGGAGACCTCCAGGGCACGCAAGTGATCGAAAGGAGAGGCTTTTATCGTAGCTTAGTGGATTCTTCGAAACCACCCAGCAAGTTGGTACCAACCGACCAGTGTTAGTTGGAGTGAGTCCTCATTCAAAGTCACTGTGGAAAGCCAATCTTATATAAGGCCGTAGCTCCCGCGTGACTGNGCGCACACTTGCGACTCCTGTGCTACGACCTCCACGGTAACCTCAAAAACGCCTCTGTTATGCTTCTGAACTCGGCGACTCCCTAAAGCAATGGACTTTTTTTTAAACCTCGTGAAGAGTTCAAGACAACAACAAAATCAGTAATATACTGATGAGGGTTGTTGGGTTGAGCTTTGTAGTACTTCCATTCCACAATAACACCCCTACTGTGAAAAAGAACCTACTTACAGGAGAAGATTGGTCGCGAGGACCGTTTCAACCCCACATTCCTGTGTTTTGATAATGACTACCAGATTTTCATAAAGTGTTGGAATCATGTCACAACTCTCTTACAACGAGGGTTTCCTTCACTTTCTTGGTACCGAAGATTGCTGATCAGAATTAACTTTTATTAATCCAAGATCCATCTCTCGAATATCATAACTGCGAAATCTGCTGTCCTCAATGGTGGGACACATCAGAATCTTTTAGGAATCTGCGTTTCTTTGGCGAGGCACCACTATTTATCACTACGATGCAAGAAAATCATTCTGGCAATAGAAATAATCACTCTGGTAATGAAAAAAGTGAAACTTCTTCCTGAAGGCTAATTTGCAGCCGAAACCTACAAAAGAAGTGGGGGAGGGGCTATGAAGAAAGACTAGGGAGTGATAGGATTCAGTATTTAAAGAATCTCGAGGGCTGACCCCGGGAAGGTTCATACATGTCTCACCGTTGATAAATGCTGATATCCCAGCTACGAGATCTGAGAAATGAACCTTGATTTGTCTGAAACTTAATCAAATTGTACCTCTTCTCTTCTGTACCAAGAGGACTAATGAAACACGTCCGTTATGGGAGAGTTGCGACATTTCTACGACCTTTTTTGGCGGCGGAGGTGGTGTAGTGGCAAGTTCTGTGCAATCATACACCTGGAGTCCAAGATCCAACACCAGATTGGTACTGGCCTTGGCCAACCAAATCTGAGACTCATCAGGGAGGATAAAAACACTGAATTGTACATTGACAGACTAGCGCAAGTCATTTTATAGGCCAAAAACCCATTCAAAACACCTCTGCGATTTTGAATGGAATAAGGATGCCATGGCCCCTCTCAGAATGAGGCTTATTAACCCCAAAAACTTACCTCTCATCCTCAGTTGTCTTTCCTTCTTATCCCCATTACATCATACTTCTTTATAAATCCATTAAAACAAAATTTTGGGGTATCTGAAGGTCTCCTTTTCGATTCCAAACAAGTCGAGTCCGGCGAGGCATTCGCTTTACCTCTTGATTTTGAGGCTTTTACATATGTATGGATCAACCCATCCGTCCTAATTTCGCTCTGGAGCAAACTTTGAATAGTTTAGGGCGATACTTTGTTCCCAAGCTTTATCACAGGAAATTTTTAGTAATTCGTTTGCGGAAGCTGTCCACGTAATTCTTTCCACGAAGGATTGGGATCAGATATCAACACCGTTGTAAGGTTCCTTGACGTCGGGACATCAAATTGCAGTTTTTAAATCTTAGTTCGGAATGACGACACCTGGGAACCTAGCAGCAATGTTGCTGGTCACTTAGTTGTTGTAGGCGCAAATACTGGGATGTTTCTCGTTACCTTCCTATTTTAAACTTATCAAGGATATGTGGGGAGATAAAGAGAGTATGAGAAATCAAGAGAGTTTAGTAGGTAGCCATTTTAAATCGATTCACAGCTTAGGTAACCACCTGGTAGCTTTCCCATTCAGTTGTAACTACCTTTGATGCCCGAATGAGCTCCAACTGCTTTTCCTCAATCAATTGGGGTCAGAACTGGAACATACAGTGAATAGTTACGATCATTTTAAAACTTCTTCCACAGACATTTGACCAGAATCGAAATAACATCGATGAGAATCCGTTACAGAATATTACTAAGTAGATAAGCTGCTCTTTACCAACTTTGAAATCCCTTTGGATTGACAAATTCTTTTCAGCTTACGCGCCATTCTCCGTCAGTGTCCATCATAGAACAGTGTTCAATTCACCAGGAACTCTTCCCACATCGATTCGGTTTCAAACAAAGATGTCATCAGGTAACAGAATTTGCTCCTTTGTTCAGTTGTTTGGGTTCTTGTTGGAAAATTTGGATTCTTTTGATTAAAATCTGGCTGATATTCGATTCCGTTGGTTTTCACCGTAAATGCAGAGAAAATCCCATTTTCGAAATGCCAGTCAGTCCTCTTACCTCTTCGTTGTTGATTCCGGAGCTAGTTGTCTTCTGACACCCAAATCTCTCCTCCGAACCTCAGCCATTGACCTCGTGCTGCCCAGCCGTCGCGCGTGGGTGTGGCCATTCAAATTTTGTGTTCCCTCATTTTCCCCAGCACCTATTTGTTTATGTTTACTTTCAGAGAACATTGACAATATGAACGACACAGGAGCTCGAGGATCACTAAACGGTGAGATTCCGAATTTTCAACCTTTTAGAACAAAAGTTTCAATTACCAATAAACTTTTCTTTGAAGGCGTCGAGGAGCTGGTCACATTCCTCGGTTGCGCATCATCCAATGATCGATCTGCTTTCTCGAAAAGAGCTAATATCATTTTTGAATGCAGGTGCGACATTTGTTATTGTAAATAAGGAATTATCCCGGATGCAGTTTACCGAATGCGGTTTTAGCCATTCCTCAATCTAAATTTATTTTTGCTTCTGTTGATTTTGGGGCTAATGGTGGTTGATCGCTCAGATTTGATCCACCAGAAAGCACAGACTCTATACGTCCATTTTAAGCTCATAAAAAGGCGTGTGGACCATATAATAATTTGGGCGACTCCTTTAACAAGAGAAAGGGAAGAAAAAAAACGCGTTGGTTGCAGTTCTGTCGAAAATTCCTCTTGCTATCTCGTTTTGAACATTTTTTTTTGCTCACATTATTCGGGATTTTTGCCTGCGATAAGAAAATTAAAACTTCCAAAAATATCATCACTAGCTCTTCAAGGAGAGAGAAACTCAGTGTTGAGTCTTTTCATTTTTGAAACATCAACTTCAGATTGCCCATTAAGTCGAATCATAGTGCCAAAATAGGATTTTAATCACTGTTCCACCGCCTCGTCGGCCTTTTTAATTAACTTATATACCTTACCATAGAGAACAGCAGCTGGGATCGTGCCTTGAACACCACGAAGAGGCAGGGGCATAGGGGGGATTTTAGTGTTTACCCGATCACAAAATGATAGTTGAGCAATCTCGGATGCTTTTATTTTTCCTGCAAGATAGCAGACATTGTTCATGATCTCCCCATACTAGAGCAGCGGAAGCGATCTAAGTTGGCAGAAAGAATTTGGCAATTAAACCGATTTCCTGACTCCCTATTCGATACTTAGTTGATTTCTTCACTGATTTCTACGAAACCATATTTTGTGCATTTTGAGCTTTATGGGATGTGAATTTATGATAACTTTGCTCATTTTGAAAATACTTCACTGAAGGCTGAAATACTATCCAAAATTGCATTTATAATGCTCGTTCTCACTTTTTATGAAGTAAGTCTCATAAGTGAAGCAATAAAGTAACCTAATTCTACACCACTTTGATTGTACCCATAATTGCTTCCCTTTCAGTAAAAGTTTGCGAGCTGAAGAATTATTCGGATGTTCAAGACTAGCCGGTATAAAGCCCAAATCAACTAGAATTACTTTTCTTTCCTACCTAATCTTCGTTTTCCTGCAATGTTTGAATTAACACGTAGCTAGGAGGATATTGTTGTTTTTGGTTGATTTGAATAGTGAAGGATTTTCTTTTGTAACGAGCTTTTCACTATCTTCACTGAAAATCCTCTTGATGGCTTTCATTTGAAAGCAGGGAATCGTAAGGAATTGCTCAATTTAAAGATTGATCTCTGTGTTCTGGCCAGGGCTCGGTTTATTTATAGTTTTTCCAATAAACTCATTGAGTGTTTCGTTCTTTTGTCAATAACAACGACGTTTTTACTACTTCAGAACCTGCTTCACTTTGTTCCGCAAGGCCGACGGCTTTATGCGACATGTGACTCGTTGTGATAGCAGTCGTGGCACTGATGCCGAGTCGGAGCCTGAGCGTCGAACCTTGTATGTATCGCCAGCTCCTGTAGTCCCATCGGCGGGTAGAGTATCTCGTGTAGTACCGCTGAAAAAACCGATCGCAACTGGAGCGGTAATTATTATGATTGCTTTTTGTTGTTTTTGGTGTTAGTGATTAGAGTTTTTTTTGTCTAGCTCCATAACTGTAAGCGGTCTCTGGATTTACTCATTTACTCGAAGTCATGATACTTCAGGCATACTTGCATAGTACTCCGCCAGCTCCTGTGCTTCAGCAGGAAGCCGTTATCAAACAGCCTCCAGTCAAACCGGTGAGCGTCATCGACAAACTTGTTTCATTTGGAGTCTGCATAGGCAGCAGTAATTCCCTAATTCTTGTCCTGATTATTTTTTTGTTGGATGTAAAATATGGGAACATTTTCGCTTGTTAAGGGCATAAGGTATCATGTATCGGCGGGCGCGCAAGTTTTCACTCTGCAATCCGCTTGCAGTTTCCGTTCCTATGAGAAAGATTCCATTCATGCTAAGGTCGTTGAAACTTTCAGATAATCATACTTTTAATGTGCTCTCAAATTCTTTTCATTCGGATTCTCGAATTTGTCGAATTTCTTAAAAATTTGTGATCGATTATTGATTTCATTGTTGCATTTTTCAGAGAGGTCGCCCACCCAAAGCAGAGAAAATGAATGTGGCTAAGCTTCCTGTGAAGAAAGAAGACGATGTTTTTGTGAGTCCTAGTGATTGCAGTACAGCAGATCCGAAGTTAGAAAAAATGAGTTATGCATTTGTTCCCCGTGATCCCGTGTTGCAGCCCACTCCAACTCCGCCGACAGTTGTAATGGCTACTGGTAATGGAACTCTGATCTCTCCTTCGGTTCGTTTTCATTATTTCAAATGCTTTTTTGGGGAAATTCTATGCCTCGTTAGTTCCTGATTGAGAGTCAACAAATAAAAGCTGTGCTTTGTTGATCGGGAATCAATGAGTTTTTACGAATTTTATTCAATTTTACAAGAGATTCAAACTGTTTGTATAAGCTGCTCAGATCTTTTTCGAATTCTGCGAAGAAGTATGCTTCCTGTTCGTCGCTGCTTACGCGAATGATTTTGTTTTCATTTGGACAATTGATTCGAAAGTGAAAATCAAGGCTTCATATTAGGATTACGCTTCGTGCCGATCGCAGGCCTAGACGACAGACTGAATTTTATATTTAAATAACAACCTATTTGCGAGGATTGAGTTCTGAAACTGTGTTCCGCGTTTGCGTCAAAAACTGTAGCCAACTGTATCCAATCCAGGGTACACTCAATTAATATCGTATGTGCCGTTTCCGTCGACAATCTCCTTCGTAGAGTTGAGCGTGGAGAAGAGGAAAACATTAGTGTGGTCTCCGAAAATTAGGCCTAAACACCCTCCCCAACAACCTACCTTCGCTATTGACATATTTTCTCTCCTTAAATATGCCAAGGAAGGTGAATTGGAAAGCTGGTTGTTGCCGATTATCATGGAAGCGCTGAAGACCTCAATTCGGGTCTTTCACCCCGTGATATCGGTAGCACCTCAATTCTGCCGATAGTGAGATCTCAGGACGAGTTTCTGTGATCCAGTAGTTATTAAGATCAGGATGCAAGATATGCAGATTTACCTCTTTTGAAGCTTTTTGCTCATAACCTGTGATTTCCGTACAGAGTTGCCCTTAACGGAGGGACTCAAGTTATTTGTCCGATTGTTTCAATCGCGAAAGCGTTTAGTTTAATCGCTCTCGACAGTGATGGAGAGATAGCTGAGTGTTAGATCAGTTCATTTTTCTATTCCCAAAGTTCCGATTAGGTTTCATGGCTTTCAAGTACTCCTTTTCTGAAAAGCCATGTTTGATTGATGTATTGCTTCAGCGCGCACCAAAACGAGCTTATAACCGCAAGGTCACTCCTGTGCTGACACCCCAAAAGATTCAAAAGACTGACAACAATGATGGTGGGGAAGAAGCTATTAGCGTATCCTCGAAGTCTGCAAAGTCCGATGATGTAAGTTTTGATTGTTATGATAAGAATTTCATAACTCTTCTTGTGCTCACATCATATTGTCAGCTCATTTTCTACATTAACGCTCAATTCTTTACTACCGTATGTTTCCTTAAGTTTCTCGATTGAAGTCAACAATAAAATTGTAAGTTTTCGGGCCTGGCTGGATTTTCGACATTGCCAATCTGGATCTGAGGCGCTCCAATTCGCCTGTTTGTTTTAAAAACTAGATAGCTAAGGAGATTTCCCTTTCGTTTCTGTAGTCGAAAGCTCATTGAATTCTGAGGTAATGCACGGAGTTTCGTAATATTGATAATTGTTCTCCATGTTTTGATACATTGAGTTAGCTCCGGCAGATATGCTTAACGGGTGTGGCAGGTTTGCCCGAAAACAGCGATCTATTCGTAATGTTCATAAGGCATGGACCGTTTTTTTTTTCTTCATCACATTGCAACCTCAAGCATTAACATTGTAAACTGCGGATGAAAAGACATGGAAAAAATATCTTCTTACTAGTTGTTTACCGAGGGGTTTTCATTGACGATGTGTTTTCAGCCTGATCTCAGCGCTGAAATTCGCCCATCGCGTATGCGTAAAACACCCAAATGGCTTGAAGACAGCGCCTTCGTCGTTTAATTTGAGCGTTCTTCACCATCATTGCTCGGAAGCTAACAGGTACTCTTTGATATTATTGCCTTCCCTTGAAACAACTTTATTTTCTGATGGATTTCAAAATTTCATTTACAGTCTGTATGACTGCTGGAAGTATAATTAAATTACAATAAAATCGTGACTTGAGGCGGCGTAGCTTCGTCCTTACCGTTGATGAAACCAGATAACGATAAGCTAAATCGCGCGCGGCGCAGCCCACTGGCTGCTTTCATAGTCCGCGATTTGAGCCGCGAGCAAGCGAGCAACCGGGGGCGGCGCTTGCCCTTGTTTGCAACTGAACCTTGGTCGACCCCCGGTCGCTCGCGCGCTGGCGGGCCAAATCGCGGACTATGAAAGCAGCCACTGCGTCTTTGAGGTGGGCACGTTCGGGTCGTGCAAAGTTTTGTGGGGCGAATTTCTGCCGCGCGCGAACATTTGAATACAATATCGGTGCTGCACCGGTTCTACACGTTTCTAATAGGGAATCATCTCCAACTTACCGCCTTACTGCCTCATTTTCTAATTCCTCTATTTTCTACATGGAAAGTAACTCGAAACGAGTTGTTCTTTTCACTTTACCTTTTCTACAACCAGTTCTCATTCATTTATCAATGGCGCTTTCTAAGATGCATTCAACTACCCGCCTGCGGTGAAATAACTCAAACAGCAAGTCACTAACGTCGCGCTTGTTGTCCAGCTCAAGGCTCTTCACGCGGTATCTCTCAGACTGCAAAGTACCCACGTTGTGGAACACTATGTTGCTGTATAAGAAGAGAGATTTCCAGACTCTACTGGCGTTTATGGCCTAATCTGCGTGCTGTCTGCAGTATCTCCACACTAATTATTTCTTTCAAGATTGGCAGAACATTAGATGAAATACAGCCATGCGAGCGAGCAGGGTTTTGGAGAGGGTTCAGCACGATTAATCACATCCACACGACTACAAAACACATTGAAGTGTCATGAAAGTATAAAATGCCTTTTGTCTTACGTTCGTCGATTTCAAGAAGGCCTTTGATACGGTCAATGAAGAAGCGGTAACTGAAGCCTTGGGGTGTTTCTATTCAGCATAGGAATGCTTCATGGGCTCTACAGCAGCTTCCCGACCAGGACCTAGCCATTCTATAAAGAGAATATAGAAGTTATCATCAACGTGAAGTGAGGGGTTCGACAGCGCGATACCATTTCGCCCAAACTTTTCAGTGCCACTCTCGAGAATACGATACGTCATTTGGAATGGGAAGACTTGGGAGTGAAGGTCCACGGCTGCTATTCACATCACCTCCGCTTTACAAACAAATCGTGCTTATAACACCGTATATCGAGCAGGCGGAACAAATGCTGACCGAGTTTGACAGTGCTTGTGGAAAGATCGGCTTACAACTGACCCGTACAGAGACGATGTTGAGAAATGAAATAGTTCTTGATGCTCCTTTCCTGCTGAACGGAATGAAGATCTCTAAATGCTCTAGTTACGTGTATCTGGGTCGCGAAGTCAATATGATGAACGACCTAGCACCGGAGATGAACAGAAGGAAACGCGCGGCGCTGGGAGCATTTAAGAACATCGAGGGAGTAGTGAAGTTGGTAAAGGATATCCGGCCTCGCGCTCGCCTTTTCGACACTGCGGTCATTCCTTTTTGACGTACTCCTCAGAGACTTCTACTTACGAAAGCACGGTCAGCATGCAGTCACCGTCATTCAATGTGCTGTGGAAGGAATTTTGATCAGAATTCCACTACATACGTAAGTGCTTAGGGAGGGAAATCTGCGCATTGTCAACGAATCTGGGACATCGTTGCTTATTCCGAAGATTCGATGCTCACGTGGCCGGAAACGTCATGCGATTTTTGGTGACTGACTCACTATTTTCACTAGGACGGTTATTCACTGTATCCCTGAAGACGTGAAGCGAGCACCATCAGCGCGATGGCCAGATTTCTTAACGAGAACAATAAAGGGAATGCTTCTCCTTGTATCTCTCGAGCGTTCATCTGGACTACTCTGGGATGCGACAGGACCATATGGATATGTTACTGGTGGCCGTTCGAGAAAATCGGTGATCAGTGAGGCAGCAGGTGACAGAGGCGGCGCTTGTGAACGGTATTTCATTCAAATTATGTTAGAAGATAGCGATGGAATGAAGGAACGATCTTGGAATACAATTCAGGTCTTGCAGGAATTTCGTTGTCGTCTCTGTTACAAACTAGTGTTATCTCTGTTTTGCCACCCTCACCGCAGTAGTCACCATACCTCGAACTTTGAAAGTGACTTAGTAGGGAGTAACCCAATGCAAAGCTCATTGGCCAATGCTCATGGCACGATTCCCGACTTGAAAGGTGCAACTAGGATGAGCCTTTGGAATGCCGGTTGCCGCCACTCCTGTGATCCGTCTCTTACCACGTGTGCACCCGTCGGGGTGTGCTGTGCACTATAATTTAGTCCTACACAGCAGAGGAAACGTTTCCTGCTGTTAGTTCAACCGCGGAGATTTCCTTTGGCCCTCTCTGCATATAGGTTTACCTATTCCGTCTTGGCTTTTAGAACTTTTGTTAGACGCATTTTCTCATCGAAATATAGGGCTGGGCTGTCTTGAGATCCAGCTTCCTCAGAATGAATTTTTTTTGAACTTGTTAAATACGAAGTCGTGAGCTCTCGGTGAACTGAGGTCAACGGTATGAGCAACGTTCGGAAAACACTCAACTTTTGCCTTATTTAAAGAAAAACGTAGGACTGCATTTTTCAGTGGATTAAAAGTTCCTGTCGAGCGCCTCAGCTCTAATGTGTACTGAATACTGTTAGGGATATTGTGATCACAGTTCTGCGTTCCATACGTTTGCAATATTAATGATATCAAAGGTTCTTTAAATTCCCCTCATTTGAATTCCTAATGTTTACCCATTAACGCTGAGTTGCCGCTTGTCTTCAATTTGTACCTCAATGAATGTATATGTCAATACTTTGGTAAGGATCTTCTCATGTTTGAAGACGTTAATAAAAATGAGAACTACAGGAATGCCTCGAGCAATTCTTTGCTGCTTCCTCTTCCCTACGCCAATACTAAGATATATGTTTTCAGGCTGCATTCCACTCATACTCCTGCATGTTAAACATGCCTAACTTCGTATTGACATCTATATGAGTCTGGGCTCTTTTTTTATTGTGGGCTAGTACTCTTCGACGTAGCCATACGAAGCAGTAATTACCTTCGAAGAAGAATGTTCGCAAATGAAGTCGCTGTCATAAATCAACTTTACTTCTAAGAAGGTTTTATATTTATTCTGTGTGACAGGTGTATTTTGCCATTTTGCTCTTGTAATCAGTGTATTCTGTTGAATAATAGGCTGTGTTCACTTCCTACTATTCAATTCCCTCTCTTAATTAAGTCCTGTAGTTAGCAGTGTTCAAGTGGATCCTCAATCAGTATCTCAGTCATTATTGTTTTGTTATATGGTTTTGAGAAGTAATTCATTATTCCAGTATAATAAACGTATATTACACATTATTTTGAACAACTAGTCATTCTGCTGAACAAAACAAACACGTTACCGTTTTCCTGAAAGGCACAGATGACTACAATTGTGAGGTATCCAGCCTAAGTAAAATAATTGAAGATATGATACAGAATAGTGCAAAAATGGCGAAGAAATTGCTAAAATTGCCCGATTTTGGAAATGTAAGGCTTCAAAACATTAGTAAGAGAGCGGTTGTGCGAGATAATTTGTCTATAACCGTCTGGGTGTCTCCCACATAAGCGTGCTGTTTTTCGGTGTCCTAGCACAATTCAAAATTGTGCAACGCTAACGCGCCGTCATAACACGGCCACTTTTGGGTGTGTACGTCGGGTAAGCCGCTTTTAGGGCCGTCCTAATAACCTGTCAAGGTCGTTTAAACCCGAAAATGAACCACATGCTATTTTTAGAGACCACCCGATTATATTAGAAAGAAGTTCCAAAAAGCACTTTGATCGTGAACTGAGCCTTCTTCTCTCACATCATCGGGACGAGAATTCGACAAATTGTAAAACTAAAAAAGAGGGTGCCATTCTTTATGGGTTACGAAATGCTTTTTTCTGAAACTAACATTCTAGTTCTTACATGGAGATACTTCCGTGTAGAAGTGGACTTTTCAGCGAACTGCGCGAGAAACATCTGTTTTTTACCAACGCTAAAATGAGAAACACTCCCATAGATCTACCATCAAACGCGATTACGTCCAATATATTTTTAGGTTCTAGTGATTGATGACCACTACGTGTAAATTTGTTACTGTATATCTCCTGCTTTTTCCTGCAAAACCTAACCAGTCACTCAGGATGATGGGGACGTGTACTACGTGAGTCCGAGGCCGCGAAGTTCCTGACGATTTGTACGACTCTAATGCCAATTTTCGGGGCACATACTGAAGTAGAGTAGTTTAGTAGGTTCAAATGATGCTTCTAATCTGCTCTACTTGAAATTTGGGCCCCAGTGATAGGCGCTAAAGCCGTTCAAATCGTTACAAACTCCGCCGCGCAATTTGCCGCCCGCATCCTCGGACGCACGTCAAATGATCCTTTCGACCCCTGGGCGATTCCAGTTTTCCAACTGAGATCAATGTCAGTTCCATCGAGAGCTGAAAAGATTTATGTGAATTGCCCATGTTTTAAACCATCAGGTGCGGAAAACGTTTGCCTTGCAAAGAATTGGAACTAGTGTAATGACGTCTTTGCGCGTGACTAACATATACTGTCACTGTAGTTGTAAGGTGAGCCTACGGATACCAGTCATTGCTAAAGAGGTTAGAAGGCTTTTCTATCTTCTCGAGCAAGCTGGATTCAACTGGCCAACTCCGCAAGGAGTGGGCAATGAGCTTACCGTCCATAAATGCTGAGAACCTTCTTCACTCTGGAATCGACATGAGAGCACGATTTGCCCGTCTTTTGTAGGGTAGCTGTATCATAAAGGCATCACTTACCGTACTTTCTGGTACTTTCCCTGTGATGC